ACGTCAAGCTACTCTACATACATCAATATATTTATTACATTTAGTTTTGACAAACAGTGCTGACAGCATTGACGAATTACAATAGTGCTGTAAATGTCTATACTTGAATAATTCTATCGATATGACCTTTATCGATATATTGTTTATATCGAATTATTTATAAGAAATAAATTTATTAACGCGGAGATTGAGTAAAAATGCCGATAAAATAAACAAAATGAATGTATTTTACACACAGCAATTTGTAATTATATCTCTACAATTATTAGGTACTAGGGATTGACTCATCATCATCATCATTAAAGCCCTTAATAAGTCCACTGCTGAACATAGGCCTCCCACAACGAATGCCACAAAGTACGATCCTGAGCCACCTGCATCCATCGACTTCCTGCATGTCTTACCAGGTCTTCACTCCATCTAGTGGGGTGACGCTCTACACTTCGTCCACCGGTGAGAGGCCGCCACCCGAGAACCTTTTTTCCCCATCGGTGTCAGTTCTTCGAGCTATATGGCCGGGCCATTGCCACTTCAGCCTACAAATCAACACAATAAAAATAACGTTTTTAAAACGTTTAGGACGGTTCCTTGTATAACACTTTGTTCGGAATAAAAACGAAATAAGAACGTAAAGTGAAAACGTAAAAAACGGTTTATTCCGCAGGAAGCTAAATGTATGGCACGTGCCACGACAAGTTTAAGCCTATAAGGTATTTTTGTTTCGTATTGCAGGGCCAAAAATGAGAAAAAACGGTTTAAAATTTTAAAATCGTTTTATTGAACAAGAACGGATTAAAATTTCGTTCTCTTCATAAACGTTTTTGTTATGATTCCGTTCGAACATAAACGAAACAAATGAGTTTTTAGGTATTAAAGGTGATAACTTTTCGAAGAATATACCGTTATCCGAGCCCTGCTTAAACTTTGATTGTGAATGTGACCACAAAGTAATAAGAAGTGCTAGTGACCATAGATAAATAGATATGTAGCAAGTAGTGACCCCTTTAGGATATAGATAGAGATATAAAAGAAGAGTAAGTTTGTACAGCGGTTGCACTCCCTCTCCATTAAACATCCGAGGCCTGCACTGTAATCTCAATGCAGTCCATTACCACCTTGAGACTGACAAGCCGCACTTACTCTTTTTGACTGAGACGCAGATCAGATGTCCTCTAGATGCGGCGTACCTTGGCTACCCTGGGTACACATTGGAGCATAATTTTCATCAGCGCGCCGGAGTCTGTGTTTACGTCCGCAACGACATCTACTGTAAGCGTATCCGTCACCTTGAAGACCCCACTTTCTCTACGATTTTTATTCTCATTTTATTCTTGTGTCTACCGATCGCACAGCGGCGACCAGGAGACAACTAGGCTGTTTGAACACCTCAGTGAAGCCTCTGATGTGGCTCTAAATCGGTACCCTAATGCACAGTTGGTTTTTCTGGGGGACTTTAATGCCTGTCATCAGGACTGGCTGTTCCCATACCAGAAGACCGACCACGCTGGGAGAGAGGCATGGAATTTTGCCTTGTCGCTGGGGCTCTCCTAGCTGGTACAATAAGCAATTAAGGTACATGATGTGGTGTATATACTGAAAATAGAGGTTCCAAAACCTACCACAATAGCGCTGGCGTCTGAAAAACTAAGATATGAATATAGCTGTTGTAGACGGAGTGAAATCCGCTGAATTCAAATATTTAAAAAAATTCATGACTAGTAGAGAGTAGTTAGTAAAATGCCAGTATACAAAACCTCAACTATTTACGTAGTACAAAACCAAGCGAATTGGTAGGTCCTTGTTTATTTCTCCATCTTATTCTAATTAATTATGGCGCTTTTTTTTTAATTTATCCAATGCTACTGCAGCGCCACCCTTATTGAACGCGTTTTTAGGGACACTTTTCATATACAGAGATGGTCCTCCTTCTACTCTACACTCCATAGCTTTAGGGTACTGACTTAGAAGTATAGGTATATATCTCTATGCTTTAGGGTTATATATGTTCTGTGCTAGTGATAGACTGATAGACTGGTATACAGTAATCTGTGGCTAGTGAGTAGTGATATTGACATATGGCCTAAAGGTCTAGATGCCAGGCCATAAACTCCAAAAAAAAATTGACATAAGAATAGATCCAGTGTTGCCAACTGCACCGTAATTACGGTAAAAACACCGTAATCAGCATAGATCTACCACCTACCGTAGGATTATAATTACGGTAGCAAAATACACCGTAATACCCAATGAAGATCGTATCTAAATATGATTATCTATAAACTAAAATAATTTTAGCGAGTTTGATTGTTTACTTTCTTTACGTTACAGTATTTTCCTTTTATTCTACCGACAACACTGTTTTATGCGTCGGGAAATCCCCCAATAGCGTGGTACCAGCTTGGAGATATTATGCGAACGAATTCGGGGGTGCTGTATGTATTTGAATTTCAATGAATACTTAGAGCTTTTTAATTTTCCTAGTTTATTTGTATCATAAACGAGATACGACTAACATTTCATTAATACTTAAAATTACGTAAGAGTTTGTTGTGTTGTGTTGTGTTGTGTGTGATCTGAGTGTTTAAAAATATGGAGAGTGATGGCGACAGCGCTACTGATCGAGAAGATAGCTTAACACGAGTACCGGCTAAGAGAAAGCGTTATAAGCAGAAGTTTCGGGAAGAATGGTTGCTGAATAAAGAATATAGTGACTGGCTAAGAAAGGATAATAGGGACTTATCGAAGGCGGTCTGCAATGTTTGCAATACATCTTTCAGTGCCGAAATAAGTGTAATAAAACGCCACAAAGAAGGAACTAAACACGTGAATAATTTAAAGAGGTGTAGTGCTTCAACGTCCAAAAAACAACAGTCTATAGTAAGCGTTTTTAAATCCATGCCAACTAATGAAAAGCAATTGGTAAAGACTTCAGAAATAAAATTAGCTGCTTTTGTTGCTGAGCATAAGGTATCTCATAATGTCATGAATCACTTAGCAGATTTGTTACCAAAGTTGTTCCCAGATTCTCAGATAGCCAAAGATATTAGATTAAAAAGAACTAAAGTTCAAGCTGTGATAAATAACTGTATTGGGGAAACTGAAAAAGAAAACTTGATCAGTGACTTGAAATCACAAATGTTTTCAATTTTGATAGACGAAAGCACAGATATTGCTGTAGTAAAAACAGTAGCTGTAGTGGTCAGGTATTTTGATCCAATGATTGGTAAAGTTATCACTCGGTTTTGGAATTTGATTCAATTATTTGATGAGAAAACCACCGATCATGTTGCAAATGCCGAAAAACTTTTTAATACTGTTATAGGTTCATTTCAAAAGTATGAGATTCCTACGGAAAACATCATAGGTTTCGGCTCTGATGGATGCAACACAATGATGGGATGTAACAATTCAGTTTCAAGTCGATTTCGTCAACGTTGTCCAGGCATAATTGTGATCAAATGCATTTGCCATTCTCTGCATCTTTGCGCTAGTGACGCATGTAAAGAGCTTCCACTAAATTGTGAAAAAATGGCGCGAAATATTTATAATTATTTTAAATCCAGTAGTAAAAGGCAGAGTGAGTTGAAAGAGTTCCAGTATTTTGCTGAGGCGGATGTGCACAAAATTCTAAGACCAGCCCAGACTAGATGGTTGTCTTTAAATGCAGTAGTGCAAAGGATTCTGGAACAATGGGATGTATTACGTCTTTATTTCAATAGCAAATGGCTGGAAGAATCGGAGTGCCACGATATTCATGCATGCCTGAATGATCCCATAATCAAGGCTTATTACTATTTTTTGGCTTGGATGTTGCCAAAATTTACAACATTAAATAGCTGTTTTCAGAGCGAATCTATTTTAATTACGAAACTACATGGGAAAATGACAGCTTTTTATAAAGAACTGTTACTATTGGTTTTACACAGAAATTATGTAAATTCCGCTCCTATTGAAACTATAGATCCAATGACAGAAATAAATCACAAGGACCTAAAAGACATATATCTAGGTTTAGGTGTCCAGAAAGAACTAGATTCTGTTGAAAATGAAGAAAGAAAGTTAACTCTCAGAAAGATGTGTAAAAATTTTATTATTAGAGCTTGTGTGGGCCTTCGTAAACGATACTGTTTTAATGACAAAATTATGACAGAAATAGCAAAATTTGATCTAGAGAAAGTAATTTCTGATGACAGGGAAGAGTCAGTTTCGTCGTTATTTCCATTACTGCCCAGAATTGCCCCAACTTCAATCCAACATCAACAAGAACTAGATGATGAGTGGCGGAAGTTGCCGTTATACTACAAAGATTTGGATTTAAGTCAACCCCCTGACGTATTTTGGCACCAGGTAAGTTTCCATGTAAACTCGAAGCAACGTGAATTCATATTGGTTTCTATTGTTATAGCAGCCTAATCATTTTTTTTTTTCAGGTCGCAGAACTGCGTGACCAACATCGAGAAGGGAATACCTATTTCCAACACTTGCCAAAATTTATGTTGGCCATTTTGTCTCTGCCACACTCGAATGCTGAGTGCGAAAGAGTCTTCAGCAGAGTTAACGATATAAAAACAAAAAAACGGAATAAACTCCTAACGAAATCCATCAAGGGAAATCTCTTATCGCAGCAAGCCATACAGCGTCACGGAAAAAACTGTGTTGATTTTAATCCCACTCACGCTATGATCGCAAAACATAACAATGATATGTATAAAAATATTGAAACAATTATACTGTCCGATTCTGATTAAAAATATGTTTTTTTTTTAACTCTGACCCATAACATGCTACTAAATAAACAAGGTAATTCTACCGTATTTCAAATATATATTACAACATAATTTCGAAAATTCTACCGTATTTTTAGAAGAATTCTACCGTCCGCTAGATTTCAGACTTGGCAACACTGAATAGATCGCCTATCTGTACCAGTAGGTAATTTGTTTTGTTATGTTTATTGTGTTTATTAGAACCAAAAGTTAATTTTATGACTATTTTCCAAAATGACTGATGTAATTAATACTAAAGACACTCTAGACAAGAATCTAGAAGATTATGAAATACAAGAAGTTTTGAAGAATGGCACCGATTTACGTGAATACGCATTGCAAATCGACAAAGGCATTAAAGAAGCGGAAAAAAATTCTGTTGCTGACTATATAAGAGAAAGCGAAAATATTGCCTCCTTGCATAATCAGATCGAGGAATGTGATAGTATTCTAGCTCGTATGGAAAGTATGCTTTTAGTATTCCAGGTAAATATAAAAAAAACAGGTGCTTGTAGTTGTGAAAAAAAGATAATATATTCAGGGCTGTCTATTTTATTCTGCAGATATTGTGCATGAACTGCATCTCTATCAGAGTCTGGTGATCATTTAACTTCATTAATTTATAAAAGTTACAAGATTTTTAATAAGTTTTAGATATTTTATTTTCTGAACCAAAATTCAAGGTTTTAATAAATTTTAACTGTATTTTATTTCTTGTATCTGTCGCAAATACATCAGGAGGTTTATTGTTAAAAATAATAATAGCATGAGAGCAGATGTTCAACTTGCTCTCCTGCTCACGCAGTTAATCATTATCACAATAAAACAGTGTACTGCACCATACATTTAGTATAGAGCAATTACAGTTCAGCTGTGCCCTAATATGTCCCCATCATAATTACACAGTAGTTTAACATGAGGGAGGTAATTCCATGGTATTAATTTGCAAACCGACAGCAACACTACCCATCACATTGTAACACAGTAGCCACTCAGAAACACCATCTTCCTTACTTGCACTAGAAGAATGACACAGAATCTCTCATGCACAACGCCTATAGAGAAATTTATACTGTACAAACGAGTGGGGGTTTCATGATATACTCCTGATTCTACCAAGGTACCATAGATACGACCCTCAGCTAGAGTGCTGCAATCTCTCCTTGCTCACTCACGATCCATCCAGTATTTTTATAGACTCACGCACATAATATCTATGTTTTATAATTTGTGTTCCTGACAACACTACAATATTCCAAAACTCTATGGATATTAGAATAATATAAAACCTTCATACAATCCACAAACATTCATATCTGAAAAGGTTAAAGCAAACTCATTGTACAAAACTATTTTTATGATGCCTTTGCCTTGCATCTTTGCAACCATTGCAGATATATGATCAGACATAAAATAATTGAGTAAAAAAATTACTTACAAATTAGTAGTAAGAGATTTTGTTAGTGCATTGTAAAATAAATTTTCTTCTTTTGCAAGTAAAGCTGATTTGAAACATTTTGATACTTTCACACACACCAATATGGTTATGGCTGCAGTAGTAGCTCATGAGTATCTAAATGGAACTTTCAAAATTATAAATAAAATAACTAGCTTCTGTTAATTTGGATATGAAAGCATAGTATTTTTTTTTATAGGATAAGGGCGACAAACGAGCACACAGTCCACTTGATGGTAAGTGGTTGCTGTGGCCCATAGACATCTACATCTATCTTCGATTAAGAATCAAAATACAGATGCGTTGTTACCTGAGAGGACTAAGATGGAATGCCTCGTTTCCAGTAAAAAGGGTCTCCGGTTCTCTACACTAACCAAACGAAACACAGCAGTGTTAAGCTGCTGTTTCATGCTGGTATTTTGTGAGAGCTTGGTCCTTCCCCGGTCGAGCCGACCCGTTCGTGCTACAACCATAATATAGCTGCAGCATGGCTCTACCACGTAGTAGGTTGAAATGCAACTGGTAAGCAATATACAGTAGCGGTGGGTAGTAGTGGCTTTTTTGAGTAACAAAACGAAACTATCTATTGAATATCCATAGTGGCTTTTGAAACACTATTTTAATAGCGGCTTTAATAGAGTGTTTCACAACTTGTTTAATTGAAAAACGTTGCGAATGAAACAATGACCGTTTCGCGAGCTTGATCTCTGAGTTCACATTTCGTTATCATATCATTATCGAGATTTTACTGTTAAGATTTATATTTCAATGAAATTTCCTTCATGCTTTATATCCAGGCTTAGGACTGGCTGGTGACAAGTTAATTAAGTAACAATTAATACTTAAATTAAATATTAAATAAAATAATAATGGATACTATATACAATTGTATTCTCTTCTTATCTTACTACAAATAATATTGTTGCACAAAACAAATTCTACTATATTATATTAGCAATCACGCCTAAAAACAAACCATGTCATCAAACACAAAAGGAATTTAGACTGGTCAAGGCCACGCATATTCAAGCAATTCTAAATATTTTTATTTAAAAACATGCACACTTACTTTCTCATTTATAATATCACATTTATCCGGAGTCATAGTTCAAATGCAAAAGCAATATAAGTGTAGCTGGGTGTGAAAGAGAAAATGTAGCACCCGCACTCACTCGACATTCGATGACCGGTGGTACTTCAACAGCCAAAGGCCGAAGCCATTGCCAATGCGTTGCAAAAATAGCCGAATAAATGATTTGTTAAATTTCGTTTTGTTCTGATTGCATGTTCGTGAATCATGTTACTGACTAAAACATCTACTGTAATAGATAGTTTTATTGGACTGCAATAACCAGCTACCCGCTATTGTATGAATAGATAGTTTTAATAACTGTTTAAGTTTTGTAACAACCACTCCTAGTATACAGTACAGATTTGTGGCCGGTGAAAGGTAAAGGGGAGATCTCCCGCCGGGCAAGGTGTTCAAGTTCAAGTTCAAGGTGTTGAGAAAAAGGCAAGTAATCTGCGAGAGTGCTGTGAAGCAGAGGCGAGCAGTAAGGCTCAGAGCCATGCTGAACATATACTTGATTTTTATCATTTTTATTTTCAGTCTGCTGTTCTCAAGTGTGTCTTTTCATAAATTCACTCTTTGCTCTAAGTGATGTCATGGGCATAAATTTGCAGATGCGGAAGTAATATTTGTTATATAAAAAAGTGTCTAAGAACAGAGCCTTGGTAAACACTGATGTTTACCTGAAAGGGCTTCATATCATCAAACAAATTAATTGGAATTCAGATCCATCATACAGGATTGCAAAGTCAACCAAATGATGTGCAGGGTCACACAGTGAAATGCCTTCTGCAGATCATAAAAAGCAATGTACTGGGTTTCCCTTTTCTCTTTATATGCCATACTTGGAGAGCAAAGGTAGGATCCAACATGCCAAAGCCTGGGCAAAAACCATATTGACATTTGGTGACAATATGTTCTTAGTGGATCCTTTGTTTTTTAGTGTACTCAAAGGTCTTCATGATGTAGGACATGACTTTTATACTGGGCTAATCATTACAGTCCTGCACACTGCCTTTGCCTTTGGATTAAGATGTTATGTTGCTTTATTAAACAAAAGTGTGACTTTCAATAAGTATTATTTATAATCTACATTGAATAAAAAAGTTTCTGTTCTGTTCTGTTAGCCAAGACATGTTACCACCTTGTCAGGAATAATAGGATAAACACCATTTGAAGAAAAAACTCACACATTTCCTCTTACAACCCTTTATTTGATATAATTTACACAAAGTAAATATAATACAAAAGACTTTATATTTTGTAGAATGATTTAGGAAGCATTAGCAATGAAATCATCAGTTTACAAAAGAGGTCTGTAAACATGTCCGTGCAACTTTCCAATAGACAGGCTCTTAAGGGACCACTTTCTTCTTTTATAGAAGATATGGCCATATCTGAAACACTCATTTTGTGAGTACTGATGACAATATTTTCTTATTTTTTATTTTATATATTAATATTTAAAATTGAAAACAGTTTTATTTTCTAGTGGTATCAATAATGTTCCAGTCACCGACAAAGAATTTATGGTCCAGTTAGCAATGTTGAATCAAAAACTAAATTTTGTTAAGGAACAAGAATTTAAAGAAACTAAAGCCTGTCATGATGTCAAGGATGTATTAGAAAAGCTTAAAATAAAGGCTGTATCAAAAATAAGAACATATATTCTGGAACAAATATATAAATTTCGTAAACCAATGGCTAACTATCAAATCCCACAGAATGCAATGCTTAAATATAAGTTTTTCTTCGAATTCGTACTAACTAATGAACGAAATGTAGCACAAGAAATTTGCAATGAATACATTGACACACTTAGTAAAGTCTATTACTCTTATTTTAAATCCTATGCATCTAGATTAGATAAATTAAAATATGAAGAAGTGCCAACTAAAGATGATCTCATGGGAATCGAGGATGGTTCTAAAGGAGGATTTTTCCAGAAATCTAATTTAAAAAACAAAAGCACAATATTTACAATTGGAAACCGTGGTGATGTTCTAGCCCAGCAACTGGAAGCTCCAATCATTGTCCCTCATGTACAACAAAAGACTAAGGTAAAATTGCTCACATTACCTGAAATAACATAATGTAGTAAGTTAGACAAACTAATTACGTAAGCTTTATGTAAAAACATGTGGGTAAAATGTGTATTTTGAAAAACAAGTTTGTGTAAATTTGGTAACGCAGAGCAATGTATCCACCACATTTTTAAAATAAATCTTATGAAAAAAGTGTATTTAATATAGTATTGGGTAGCAGTATGAATACTAAGGCATGAATTCCTCCTACACTGACGTTGGTCGCGCGTACTAATGTACATTATGTTCTATATAGCCCGACACTACGACGCTGACGACAGCGGCGCGTAGTTTGCTACGTACGCGTACGCGGCCGACCGTACGCAACCGACGTCAGCATAGGAGGAATTCAGGCCTTAAAGTTAGTGAAAGTAGAAAAATTGTAAAGTAGGCTTTTATTAGTTACCTTTTTACATGCCACCACAATGTTTTTACAAATAAGTTCATGGAGTTATTTTTATAGTACAGTAAATAATCATCTAAATTCACAGTTTATTAATCCATAACATAGTTTTGTTAAAGCTTATTGTTTGGCATTGAAGCATTTAAAGTAAAAATGTCAGTTACCACTATGTTAACAATACACCTTGCATGCTCTCTTGATTCTGAAAAATATTGGATTTGGAACTCTTACTTCACCACCCATATTCATCCAATCTCGTACCTACTGACTAAATATTTCTTACATTTATTGCAAACAATTTGACTTCTAAGTATAAATTTGAACAAGTATGAACAATAAAGTTTTAGTTTTAGTTTACGACGGGCTGTTTTCCGCAACTTCACGTCTAGGCGCGTATTTTGCGTGTGGGCAGGAATAATGTAATTATTTGAGCCATGAGATCTCCCCAATGAAGTTAAACAGTCCTTTGATGTTGCGAGATATTTCGGGGAGTGATCTCGGCGTGCCGAGATTTTAGCCCTGTATGTAGCGAACTCCGGACATGCCCTGCACAGGGGACTATCTGTAACACCTATGGTAAATAAATGTTTGTTAAAGGTGCTGTGTTCTGCGATAGCGCTTGTTACTATCCTGATCTGCGGCTTATTGAGTCTCATTAGAACCTTGGTTAAGTGACTGTTTATTTCAGCTAAGCTGCGTGATTGGTGAAATGTCTACGTACCAGTGAATGAACATTACCAAAGGGGGTTGGTATGATTGGTTCCCGCACTATAGTGGCCAGAGCCGATCCACTTCTGGCCAGTTTGCCTACTGCATCGTTACCTCTGAATCCACTGTGTCCCTTTATTCATTACAGAGTCACATTGTTGTTTTTACATACCTCATTTAATCGTTGATGGCATTCATATATTCGTCCTGAGTTCAACACATTGCAACTCAGAGCTTGTAGTACCGCCCTACTGTCGGTCAGTATTCTAATGGAGAAGTCATTAACCCATACATTCCGCCTGAAAGACTGTGTTATAGGTACCCAGCGGTGTGCATATGTGGATATTGCGGTCTTCTGAAAAAGTTCTAGATCCTACACCTTCATTTGTTTTAGAACCGTCGGTCAAAACTCTAAGCTCTTTTGGACTTAAACCTTCTGACTGGCTGGTTTCATTTAATTGTATCTTGTACTTCTTATTGAATAGAAATTGTTTAGGGATCTTATCGTACTTAGCTTGTAAGATAGGAATTTTTGAGTGAATTCTATCAATAATAGAATAGAGTCCCTCAAACAGACATACTGTATGAGGGACTCTATTCTTATTCCAAAGATTTAAGGTCTTGAGTCGAATGGTAGCTAAAGTCGCGTCTTGTTGTATGTATAGATGAAGCGGGGTTAGCTCCAGCATCGCCTCTAAAGCTGCTGTTGGCGTAGTCCTTATACAGCCTGTGGCAGTCATACATGCCAGTCTCTGGTAGCGCTGAAGCTTCTTTGTACTGGTGGCTTCATTTATCTTAGTCCACCATACCAGAGCGCCGTATCTGATCATGGGCCGAATTACAGTTTTGTACAGCCATAGTATGATTTTTGGCGTCAGACCCCATCTTTTGCCAATCATGTTTCTGCATTGCCAGAAAGTTACACTAGCTTTGTTGAGTCTGTTTTCTATGTGTTTACTCCAGTTGAGTTTACTGCCCAAGGTAAGACCTAAATATTTTAACCTCAAGAGGATAGCTGGAGTTTTGCGCTGAAAAGACTTGGGAGATGATAGTTATTCAGAGAACATTACTAGGACCGTTTTATTTGGGTTAACAGTTAAGTCGTATTCCCTGTACTATGTCTCCACTATACGGACAGCCGCTTGGGTCAGGTCGCACACCATGCTTGCTGTCTTTCCAGAGACCAGTAATAGCCCATTAGCCCCCCCCCCCCACCGCCACTGTAGGAGTGCCGGGAATATGCCGTCAGGTCCTCCCGCTTTATAGGGGAGAAAACTGAATGGCCCAATAGATTTTATCCATCGTTACCCTCTCTGTGCTAAATTCCGGTCTTCTGCTGTTGGTGTCAGTGTATCTTCATGCCGGTTTGTCTCCTGAGTTATGCAGCAACCCGGGAAGTGCGTTTCAATTAGGATGCGTTGGGCTTGATCAGGCGATGTTGAGTAGCTTCCGTCGGATTTCTTTAGACAGATGAATCCCGACGTGTTCTGTTTAGCTAGGATATTCCTTATCCTATACGCTTGTTCGCAGGTTTCTATGTTACCACTAAATTTACGCCACCCTGTCGAGCGTCGATACCTGATACATTTTTTGTATTCGGACTTAGCTTTCGTGTACAGTAGCCATTCTTCATCTATTGAGGTATCATGGCCCTATTTAGGGCTTTTCTTCTTACGTTTTCTATCAAGTTCTTTACCCCACCACGGTTGTTTCACCTCAGCGTGCCTTGGTGGATTGATTTCTGGACATGATTCATAGTAGCTATCCATCATGGCTTTAGTAACAGCTGCTACCTGTTTTTCTAGGAGCGACTGATCTGCTTAGTATTTGTCCCCTCAAAACCCGCGAGCGAAGACGTCAGCCTATTTAGGTGTTTGTTTAATCCGTCTTACGGGGATTTCTCCATGGTGGTGTAGCGGGGATATCGACCCACAGTACGCAGCAGATCCATCTATGGTCTGAGCATGAGGCCTCTTTCGACACATGCCATCCCGTAATAAGTTTTGCTGCTCCTTCTGTTGCAAGTGTGAGGTTAAGGTCGATTATTGTGCGACAACGTTTGTTTATGAAAGTTAATTTAGAACCTGTGTTTTATAATTGTTAGGTTAGTACTAAATAGATATTCAACTAACACCTTACCTCGTTTATTGGGTTTTTCCATTCCCCAGAGGGGATGATGCGTGTTGGAGTCCGTCCCGATCACAACCTCTAGTCCAGTCCTCTCGCAGAAATTCACCAGCCTGACGAGGTGGAGTGTCTCCCTGCGGCATGTAGACCGAGGCGACGACTAATCTTCCCTCATGTGTATATTGTATTGCCACGGCATATGTCTCTGGAACAGAAATCTGTTAATGGTTGTGCATAGATATATTTAGTAGTGTAAATACACGCTCCAGGCTTGTCGTGTTCAGAGCTGTAAAATAACTTAGCTTTTAGGTTGTTTAGGCCTTTGATTTTATCAGTCCCAACCCACGGCTCTTGGATTAAGGCTATGGTCGTCCTTTGAACCTCCAACCACTTGCGTAATTGAGCCGAGGCAGTTTCGTTGTGGTGGAGGTTGGCCTGCACTAGGCTAGTTCTGGACGAAGGGCACGCCATCATTGATCGCGTCCTCCCCGTCCCAGCCCAAAAATAAGCCTACCAGCAGATTTCGGGTTTCATCGTCAGCTACCAAGTCGGAAGTGGTTGGCAACATGCAGCCCTCTTCGTCACTCAGTGAGCTGCTGCTGAGCCCGATCTCTACTAGGGGCTTCGACTCAGTTGTGCAGGCCGTTTTTTCATTGGACTTGGCATACAGTAATTCCGCTGTACCGGTAACCATAGCCCCGGTATCCACGACTTCTGGGTTGTTATCTGCCTCTTTGCTTGCTGGAGTATCAAAGAATTCACCTCCATGACCCCGGAATTTTACGTATACCGCCCCACATACACATCCGAGACGGCGTTCGGCTTTCATCATGGTCGGGATATGATCCTCCGGCACCGAAACAACGAGGAACCACCCGTCCATCGGCTTATCTGCCTTGAGTAGCAGCCAGTCCCTGATGTTTACCCAGCGGTTCTGGTACGCCAGCACACGACCAATATCGCGTGAGTCTGTCCAGGCTCTTTGGGCGTATATAGATAAGGATACCACATTTGACTCTTTGTGGTATCTCAACTGTTTCTTTATAATCAGCGACGTGTTGAATTTAAGGTCGAGGGTAGCAATATTCCCCTTCAACCAATCCAGAGGCTCCTTATCGTAGCACCACAGCTTCCGGACACCGTCCGTGTAAACGGGTTTGCCTCTAAAAACTGGGCCCGACGCATCAGGGTCCTGGCTACTCCAGGCCTCGCTGATCATCTTCCTCTGTATTGCCACGAAGATGTAGTCAGCTACTTTCTTCGTTATGTGACCCGAATGCGCACACGTTAAGGCGACACCCAAATCTGCTTTAGCAGAGGAAGCGTAGCTGGTTCTTGCTGTTCGAGTCGCACTTTTTTGTGCTCGCATCTCGGCGAGGTGGACTCTACCAGCATCCTTTTGGCTGCTTTTTCCTTCTTCCCAGGACGCTTGGCCGCTCGCTGCTTCCTGGCAGATATTTTTTGTTACTCGCGGGCCCTTTCTCCTTTTTCGCGTTCAGCTCCTCAGGTTTGGAACTGGTTTTGGGAACGTCCAGCGCGGAAGTTGTCCCCTTGGTGGGGCCACCTACGCTGGATGGTACAGTCCGTGGAACCGTCGGTTTAATGGAGGTTCCCCCTTGTTCATTGGTGTCTCTGGGAAGCACCTCTGACACATCTCCCTCTTTCCTACTGAGCCATATTTATTTTTGTGTTTAAAATTCGGCCCCCCAGCTCCCCACCCTCCATGAAGCCCGCAACTTTTGCAACGCCCCACTTCAAAAAAAATTCAGGCGTTAGAATTACCGGGGGAATATAGGGATGCGAAGTTGACTCACAGCGCGACATCGGGAGCTCGATTCAGCTGGTAGATATGACTGAAATGGCCCATCCCCACTACCCGAATAGACTGTCACTTGCTTTGTCAGCATGGCCTTTACCACCACCCAGCCCTCTTTTCAGGAAAACTAGGCAGCCCCCACGTCCCTCGTCTGCGACCCTCTGACGGGGCGCTTGGTCATTTTCCTATCTGTGGCTAGCAGATAGGACCACCGTTTAGCTTGAAATCCGGGCCAAAGAAGGGGTGTTGCCTCTTGCCACTATATACTCCAGTGACGATCGGCTCAACCCTCCAGGACTCCTTCAACCCCGCGTACGGCGCTCGACTCCGCAGGTGGGTGTGGTAGTCCACCGGATACACCCACTCTCTCCGGCGGAACCATCCCTCCTCCTTTCTCATCCGGGCATGGTGCTGGCAATGGCGGAGTTATGAACAATAAGGAGTATTTTTATTCTAAATCCAAAAATTTTTATAAGAAGGATATCTTTTGATGCAAAAAGATGTAAAATGGCGATTATTATTAAAAGTTTTATTGCCATTTTAGTTTATTTTTTTTTGCACTGAAAATGAATAAAATTTACGGACTGAATATTTTATAACATTACTTTAGTTTTGTATATATATAAATATATATTAATTAATGAATATATATTTTCAAACTTCTCATTGTTTCAGTATTCGTATGAAGCTTTATTCAGAAGCCTACAGTATGCCCTGGTGGATAATAGTTGCAGAGAATATTTATTTACTACAGAATTTTTTCATGTTAAAGCTAGTCATGCCCAGGAACTCTTTGATCGGATCTTAGGGAAAACTTTATCACTGCTTGTGGTTTGTAGATTATTTGTTTATAATATATGATCAAACGAACTTCTCCAAGTGAAGTTCGATCAGTATTATATGAATCGCTTCATTCGAAGATATAATATTAACAACGTAGTTTCCTTATTCTACAAGGCTAAGTCGCACCTTTAAAGATTTTTACTCTACCCCCATTAAAGAAATTGTCCCTTCCCACTAACGCCTCTCGCCGTCCGAGCGTACTGCCTCATTCTTTTAGAGATATTATTCTAAGCAAAACTTTTTGTGGGTTATTAGTGGGAGGGAAATTATATCTTCGAATGAAGCGATTCATATAATACTGATCGAACTTCACTTGGAGAAGTTCGTTTGATCATATATTATATTTCATCGCTTCATTCTTCAGATATAATATTAACAACATAGATGTTTAGAGCTTAAAGTTTTGCTTATTGGGTAACTTATGTTTACGTTAAGCAACAAAAAGAAATCATAAACAATCAAATATCATTTATTAGTTCAATCGTAACAAAATAACGTACAATTATTCACTTGTCCAATTATCTTATTTAATACATCAAATAGTTTTAATTTAATTATTTAAAAGGACAGTTCTTGCAAACTTATTTCCGTCAATAATTTGGCGATGATAAAACTTTGCAAAGGTCTCTGATGCCGACGACCATCCGGCTGTTTTTCTGATCGTATCTAGGGACACCCCAGCGGACCTAGCAGCTGAGGTGACAGCATGGCGCGTACTGTGTGCACTAAACACAGTCACGTCCACGCCGCTCTCCGCTAACACGTTCTTAATCCACCTACTGATAGATTGAGCAGTGGCCGCCTTGTGTGGCCGCCTGTATGTTAGCAATAAGTTCCGACAACCTGCGGGTCTGATTTTATTTGTAATTTCTAAGTAATCTTTTATTGCCGTGGCTGGACAAATATTTATATTTTCTATAAAGTAAGGTAAAATTAGAAGGGGTTGCTGACGACCCGCTGCAGACGTTTTTATTATGTCAGTGATGCTGATTCTAACATCTGAAGAACATATCTTAATATTGTCTATCTTTATTAAAGACAATGTTTGAGCTCGGTGTGCTGTGCATAATGCCATTAATACTGCCAATTTTTTTGTGAGTTTTTCAATTGAAAGTGTTTCATTGGGAACCCAATCTCCAATATGATTTAAGACAATTTTTGGATCCCAAGTACCAGTATATTTTGAAAGGGCTGGTCTTAACTTGTATGCGCCCTTTAGGAATCTTTTTATTTGTTCTTTAGAACCTACACAGTCTCCTAGAAGTAATGACAAAGCCGATCTGTGGTTATTGAGCGAACCGTAAGCGGCCCCATTATTAAACTGCTCTGATAAAAATAGCAAAATTGACGGTACAGAACTTGCGTAAGGATCTAAATTATTTTTATGACAAAATTGCCACCACAGCTTATACGAGACGCTATACTGAAGTGTAGTATTCTTTGAAAGCGATGCCATCATCACGTTAAGAGCGGCTGATGGTGTACCTCTTCTTATAAATGCGACCCTGAGAGCCTCGCTGCACCCACGGTAAGTTGTTTGTGCAGGTGATGAGGAGTTCTGGAAGAAGACCGTAAGAGATTTTTGTGAGGTTTGAAAAACAGTATATCTGAACTGAGTAAGTTATTTAACATTGGGTACCAAGGCTGGGATGGCCAATAAGGAAAGACCAAAATACCTTCGGCTTTATCGCTTGTGATTTTTTCCAGACATTTGATTATTAAAGAAAAAGGTGGAAACGCATAGAAATATTTGTTTTTCCAATCAATAGTGAAAGCATCTACTAATAAGGCATCTGGATCCGGTCTCCAAGACACATAGGTTCTGCACTTAGCATTAGCACGAGAAGCGAAAAGATCTATTTCTGGTTCCCCCAATTTTTGTACGATCTCCTTATAAGCGTTATCGCTTAGCTCCCATTCTGTATCTAGGTTTAGTTTCCTTGATTCTTGGTCTGCTTCGAAATTTTCTTTACTATTTATGTAAGATGCGTGTAGCCAAATGTTTCGCTTCTCGCACCATTGCCATATTGATCGAGATAACTCGTTCAAATGGGGGAATTGAATTCCTCCCATTCGATTGATATAACTTATAGCTGTTGTATTATCTACGCGCAATAAAATATTACAATCCGACATATCCCTAACAAAACATTTAATACCTAGAAATATGGCTAGTAATTCTAGGTAATTGATATGATACTCGAGTTCATTATATTTCCATCCTCCACCAACACGAATATTGTTACAACAAGCACCCCAACCTGTCAAGCACGCGTCTGTAAATATCTCATAATTATATTTAGTTATTCTAAATGAAGTTTTGGTTGAAAATACATTTTTTCTCCACCACTGCAAATCTGGTAAGATATCTTTTGAAAGTTGTATATTTTTATTGTACGTCTTATATTTTAGAATCGCAAGGTATTTTTGTCTTTCTAGTAGTTTAGTGTACAACCAGCCATATTTTACCCCAGGACAGGCGGCCGTCAGGACACCTATCAAATGAGCGAAATCTCTAATCGAACAACTAGTTAAGCAAGAGAACCTTTGTACTAAGTGGGCTATATGATTTTGTTTGTCTATGGGTAGACTTATAGAAAGTTCCGTGGAATCAAAAATAAATCCCAAATATTTGCAAGATATATGTGGGCCTAGACAGGACTTATTATAATTAATAACAAAACCTAAGCATTGTAAAAGACGCATAGTCTCGTTAACGTTATCCAAACATTCTTTGTAGTCTTTACCTATACAAAGAATATCGTCAAGATATATGACAGACTTATATCCCCTGCTTCTTAAGTTGGTTATTACCTCTTTCATTATCTTACTAAATGTTCTAGGAGCAATGGACAGGCCATACGGCATGGCATTAAATTCATAAAGGGTTTTAACTAAATTTTCATCTTCAAATTGAAATCTTAAAAATTTGCGATGACTCGACTTAATTGACACTAGTAAGTAAGCCTCCCGTAGGTCAATGGTAGCCATGTAACCATTACGCGGTATTAACTTTGAGGCCGTTCTGTAATCCTCCATTTTAAAGTGAGATTTTTCAATGAATTTATTAAGGGACTTTAAATTCAGAATAAATCTTTTGTCTCCGTTAGGTTTAGGCGCTAAGAAAACTGAGGATATAAACTGGTTATTTGATGGATAACACTTTGATATTGCTCCTAAATCTAATAAATTACTAATAGCTATAGAAATGTATTGTTTATCTTTTGCTGACAAAGTTGAATGCGGTAATCTACATTGAGTAATTTGTCTATTAAATGGTATTGTAAAGCCATCTCGAATCCATCTTAAAATAATTTTATTTTTTGTTAATTTTAACCAACAGTCATAAAAATATCGTAATCTTCCCGCATGTACCAGTTTTACTGCTGAACTGAAGCATGGTAAGATTTGTTGTTGCTCCAAGACCTCGTTTGTGGATACACCTGAGAGGGATGATCCCTGCGGGTCCCCGATGACTTCTTTGGCCCTCCCCGCCCCCTCTTGTTCTGGGAGCGGGAAGGGAATCTCCAGTTTCCCTGGTAGCGATTGTCTCTTAAAGACGAACTTGTTGCTATCTGTGATGTGGAAGGTTTAGGGTCTGTTTTCTTAATCTGAAGACCTTGTTTCTCGATGGCTTTTAGCGCCTTAATCTTTTGAGGAAGGTTATTGCCAAAAAGAGTTTCGTCTCTTTCACTCTCATGAATGATTTTAAGAAAACACTTGTCTAATCCGGGTGTCACCAATTTTATTCTGGTTTGAGTCTCAGAGTGATGGAGGTCGGATAATATACGGCAAGCATCAGATAAAATTTTTATCGCTTGAACTTTATTGTCTCCGATGAGAAGTAAAGACATAGCTCTATTAACGGCAGTAATACCTAAGCCCAGTTTTTGCTGATCGACCTCTATTTTTTTGTCCCTATTTCGGGCTGCATCGGTAAGTGCCGCTGCAATCTCGGGATTCAGCGTAGGTGCTCTCAAAAGCTTGCAGTTTTCGGGAATTAAGTACGCTTTTAACAAGTTTTGTCTTGTTTCCTTAGTAAGACCCTTACGTAGAAGAGGAAGCCAACGGTGGGCAAGATCCTGGTGAATATTTTCACCGTATTTTTGCTCGTCACTATCCGTATCACCCAAAGCTGACAATAGTTCATGGTCTAATGTAGGAATTGTTTCTTCCTCTTTATCTTCAGTTGTTAACTGAGGATGCTCCTCGGAAGGAATAGATGTTACCATGGTGTCATCGTTTACAACCTTATTACAATCCTCAGCTTCGTTATCTACAACAAGAACTAAATTGTATATTTTGGAGGTAGATAACAAAAAATTGTTATAATAAGAATATAAATTATCACAACTTAAAACTTAGAAACTGGCACTTTAATATATTCGTACATGTGTATTTTAGTTTATATATAACCTTCGTGCTAACTCTCGGCTAGCCCCCCGGTTAGGATACCTTCGTACTGACTCGCGGCCAGTCCCCAGGTAAATTTTGTCTTCGTGTTGATTCACGATCAACGCTAAGGTTTTTAGTCTTAACTTATATTTTAAAGGATCACTCAGGTACTAGAAACGAATTACGTAACGGTAACACTTACCAACATTTTCTTCGGCATCGGAAGAATCGGAGTAAACAATGACCCGTTTATATCGTTTCCTTTCTTGTTCTTCCAATTTTTTGATTTTCTTTTGGTAATAACCAATTTTGTCTACAGCACTGCGTTTCGACATTTTACTGTTTTAAGATAATTAAGTAAGGTGTGCACTCTGCCTCGCACGAAAAAGGAATGAGGCAGTACGCTCGGACGGCGAGAGGCGTTAGTGGGAAGGGACAATTTCTTTAATGGGGGTAGAGTAAAAATCTTTAAAGGTGCGACTTAGCCTTGTAGAATAAGGAAACTACGTTGTTAATATTATATCTGAAGAATGAAGCGATGAAATATAATTTATTATTAACATGTTCAAATGTCAACTAAAATATTGCTTTTCAGAAAAATGTTGAAAACTATGTTTTAGAATGTTATGACTGCCTTGCACTCTTTCTGTGCATTCAGTTAATCAACAGGTATAAGTGGATGTGTCACAAAAGAGCTGTACCTGCCTTGGACAGGTAAAATGGAAAAATTAAAGAAACAACATAATGTTAAAAATATTAGTAGTATTATCAATGTTTTTATTTTCTATGCTTTTCAGCTATTGGGATTCATTACTAAGTGCACTGGGGCCCAGATTAGAATATGTTCTTAAATTAAATATACAAAGTGTGCGAGAGTGTAACCCTGCCAAGCTATCCAATAAAGAACTTGGACCTCATTATGTAAGTTGAATATTATTTTTACATTAAACAGGATAATATGTGATAGTAATTGAAGAAAAATAAACCAGATTTTATGAGAGCGGGTAGCGTGATCTTGTCAAGTTGACAGTAAAACCCAATCTTTCCGCTTAGCGTTAGAGGTGTGCAAAATTGTATTAAAGGAACCGTAATTACGTACGTGTTAGTGCTCATAAAAAGTTAAAATCTATTTAATGTTTAATGATGGGGATAGTGAACACGAAAAAGCGGACTTTAACATTTAGAAGTAATATTTTCATGCTACTGTTGTTCTCAATAATCCTTAAGTGGAAATTGGACATTCTTAAAAAACCTATTGCTTTCATCATCGTTCGGAATATTACGACACATCTTCTCGTCTTATCAATCGTCGTCTATTTAACTGCTGGCCATATGAGGAACCTCAAGGTCACTCAGCAAACTATGGACAGGGCTATTCTCTAAATTTTTCTGCATGGTAGACTTCGTAATTAGGATATCCGCAATAGAACCACAGGAATCAATATTGCCGAATAGATCAGTAAACTGAAGTGTCAATATGCCAGCTCGAAGACCCGTCAGCGAATGGGGAAGAAGAAGGTTCTCCAGTGGCAACCTTTTGTTTGTTTGTTTTGTACGTGGTAGAGCAATGCTGCAGCTATATTTCTGGTATAGTTGAAGCACGAATGGGTCGGCTCGACCGGGGAAGGACCACTATCTTACAGAATTACCAGCGTAAAATAGCAGCTTATCGCTGCTGTGTTTCGTATGGTGAGTGTAGAGAACCGGAGACCATTTTTACTGGAAACGAGGCATTTCATCTTAGTCCTCACGCGTGACAACGCACCTGACAACGATAGATGTGGATGTGTAGGGGCCATAGTAGCTACTTACTATCAGGTGGACTGTGTGGTTGTTTGTCACCCTTTTCTATATAAAAAAAACTCGTTGCGATAAGCGAAGTGTAAGGCGGCCTCCCACTAGATGGAGTAACGACCTGGTAAAATATGCAGGAAGTCCATGGATGCAAGTGGATTAGGATCGTGCTTTGTGGCATTCCTTGGGGGAGGCTTATATTCAACAGTCTGCTTGTGATAGGCTGTATATGATGATAATAATGTAGATACCATTTATTTTTTAAAGGGGGCAGACGAGCATGCGGCTCACCTGATAGTAAGTGACTACCACCGCCTATGAACAACTGCAACACCAGAGGAATTGCAGGTGCGTTGCAGGCCTTTTAGAAAGTAGTAAGCTCTTTTCTTGAAGGTCCCTAAGTAGTATCGGTGCGGAAAAATCATCGGTGGTAAACGATTCCACAAAGAAGTTGTGCGAGGAAGAAAAGTCCTAGTAAAACGCATAGTGGCCGACCGCCAAACATCAAAATGGTATGAATGGTATCGCGAGTTTTGTTGCGATGTGCGTTTGTTAAATTTGGCGGCTGGAATTAATCTGAACAATTCCTTAGAGCGCTCCCCGTGGTTGATCGAGATATGATAGAGATGATAGAGAATGCAAGGGTCTGCAACATCCCTTCGCAGCGCCAGTGATTCGAGCCGATCATGCGTTGTGCCGGCATGAAATACTGTCTCGCTCTCCTGAGCACGCCAAGCTTTTTAGAGGCCCATTTAGCCTTCCCTTCCTAGTGCGACGAAACTGCACGTCATTCGATATGTCGACCGCGAGGATTCCGATACTAGCTAAGGCAGCAAGGGGTGTCCTGAAATTGAAGAGATGCGACAAGGGGTTCTTAGCGGTAAACGCGCAAACGTGTCTTCTGATGGTTGAAATGGACTAGATTTAGTCGTCCCCAATCCGAGACCTCGATGACGTGATCCCAAGAAATATTTGAAAGCACTGTCTTGCGAAAACAGGTTCTACAAACATTTTCAAAATATTATTATATCTAGTAAGAGACCAGTTGGTGATGCCGCATATTTTTAGACAAGTTACTATATAGATTTTTATTTAATTACAAGAACTAATTTTAAGAATTAATTTACGTGGTAGAGCCATGCTGAAGCTATATTGTAGTTGCAGCACGAATGGATCGGCTCGACCGGAGTAGGACCACGCTCTCACAGAATACCAGCGCATAATAGCAGCTCAATGCTGCTGTGTTTCGTATGGTGAGTCTACACTCACCAGTAAAAAGGGTCTCCGGTTCTCTACAGAACCGGAGACCCTTTTTACTGGAAACGATGCATTCCATCTCAGCCCTCACGGGTGGCGGCGCATCTGCATTTTGATTCTTAATTGAGGATAAATTTAGATGTCTATGAGCCACACCATTATTTATATATTTATTTATTTATTTTATTTATAAGTGTCACCGACAGATGATACACAAGTACTAAAAACAAGATCCAAGCGTTGAGAGAAACATGCAATGTGCTCACCCAGTTATAGGCAACCACAGCTTACACAGAGTAATGTTGCGAAAAGTTAATTATCATAAAATTTAATATTACAGTAGCAAAATTGCGTATGTATGATAAATTAAAAAGGGTTTACATTTATCATTATTTGGAAGACATATGAAGCCAATACGCATTGGGGCAGCGCGGGGGACCTTTCTTTGCCCTAAAACCTTCTCTGAAACGAGAGGAGGCCTGTGCCTGTCCCGCTTAGGACGTGCATAGGCTGTACTTTAATAGTAATATTAAATGGATGATATGGATTAATACAATTAGCCTATCCATGATGCATGCCACACTAACCAATAATTAAAACCACATTTAGACATGTAGGATAATTTGTCGTAGGTCATATATGGGCAACAACCAGCCCGCTGTAAGATATGATCCGGCCCGCGGAGTGACAGTGAGGCGGTAAACATCAAATCCGTTGATGTTTGCCGCCTCACACCTTGATAATCGCCGTCACTCGGCTTGCTCGATCAAATTATTTGAGGTTTGCCGCCTCACGAGCGACACATCAAACGATTTATTGCTTCTCAATTATTGTAAACTAGTTTATTCCAGATTATTCCTTCATTTTGCCTTTATAAGCGGGTGGATGACCCGGACGTTAGTTCAGTTCTATTTAAGCTACCGAGGTGATAACTTGGACAAGCGATATCCTAGCGAACTGCTTGAGCCGTCAACTTGCTTTGTGACTTCGTGTGCATCTTGAGTGGTTACTAACTATAGTTTCTTATTAAGTTTATTGAACTAAAAGTAAACAAAAATGATGTCTGGTGGAAAGAAACGAAAAGTAGATACAGAGGGTCGTCAGTTTCAAGAAAAATGGACTGAAGAATTCTTTTTTATCTTGCACAATGGTAAGCCTATTTGTTTGCTGTGTAATGAATCCATTTCAGTAATGAAAGAATTCAATATAAAGAGGCATTACTCAACTAAGCATGCTACGCTGCACTCACTGACAGGACAATTAAGAACAGAAAAAATCCAGAAGCTTACCGAAAAGCAGCAACAAATGTTTTATAAACAAAGAACACAACTTGATAATGTTGTGAAAGCTAGTTTTATACTTAGCTCAAAATTGGCAAAGGCATTAATACCATTTGCCGAAGGAGAATTTATCAAGGAGTGTATGTTAGAAGTTTGCGGTATTTTGTGTCCTGAAAAGAAAAATGAATTTGAAAAAAATAGTTTGTCAAGACGAACGTTGTTCGACGTATAGAAATGATGGCTAATGATATAAAAACAACATTGACTGACCGTATGGCTGGTTTTAATCATTTTCCATAGCATTAGACGAGAGCACCGATTTGTCTGACACAGCTCAACTGATTATATTTATTCGAGGTGTTGATAAGGAGTTCACTGTTACTGAGGAATTTGCTTGCTTTACAGCCGCTAAATGGAACCACTACAGGAGAGGATATTTTTATTGAAGTTCAAAAGGTATTCACAATTTTTGGCTTGCCATGGTCAAAATTAATTGGAGTATGCACTGATGGTGCACCTTCTATTGTCCGCTTACGTAAAGGTTTCATCGGAATTTTAAATGAAAAAGTAACAGAACTTGTGTTCGAAGTCCATTCAACTCCAGAATGTTATGAATGTAGTAGTAAAAACCATCAACTTTATTCGATCCCGAAGGCTTAACCATCGTCAGTTCAAGGCGTTTTGGATGAAATATGAGCTGAATATAACAACTTTTGAATATAACGATTGTGAAATCAGATGGCTGAGCAAAAGAAAAGTGTTGAAACGGTTTTACGAGCTTAGAAATGAGATAGCAGACTTTATGAAACTAAAAGATAAACCACTATCTGAATTAAGTGACCCAAAATGGATATGTGACTTGGCATTTCAACAATCTTACAGGCTATTTGAATGATTTAAATTTGAAACTTCATAAACAAGGACAGTTAGTAAATGATTTGTACAGCCATTTGAAAGCGTTTCAGACCAAACTACGCTTGTGGGAGTCACAGATGCTGTCTGGTAACGGTTACCATTTCAACACGCTCTCTGCGTATGAAAATATTGCTTATGCTCAATATGCTAAAGAACTCAAGTTACTGTCGGAACAATTTTCGAACAGATTTAGCGACTTCAAAAACATGGAAGACTGTTTCAGTTTATTTGCTTCTCCTACAAAATATAATGTACAAAATGCTCCAATACACTTACAAATGGAGTTGATCGACATTCAAGAAAACTCACTCCTAAAATCCAAATTTGAAGACGTAGAGTTGTACGATTTCTACAAAAAATACCTAGAAGGAGACAATTTTCCGCAGCTGCGGAAAATTGATTTGTGCGTTTGGCAGTACTCATAAATGCGAACAGTTTTTTTCATTGATGAAAGTTAATAAATCAACACATCGTACAAGACTGACTGACGATAATTTGGAAAATTCTTTACGTCTCTGTATCAGAGGAATTAATCCAAATATCGATGGATTAGTTTCCCAAATTCAAGCTCAAGTGTCTCATTGATTTCGGTGTATATAACTTTCGTAGTTTGTAACAATTGCAAACGATTTAATTATAATATACCATTTTATTAAATTTCATTTTATTATTTTAATAAATTGTACTATAATAACATTGTCGTATTATTTCATGTCTAATATGTATCGCAAAAAATATTACCACTACTTTAAAATGCACTATTATATATATTATATATATTACAAGTATTTTTAAACGCGGCCCGCGAACGTATTTGCACGCTAAAATTTGGCCCTCAATATGTCAAAGGTTGCCCATACCTGTCGTAGGTAAACATTCTCGTCAACTACTCCCAACAAGTGCTTAGTACTTCTTTAGTAAACTGCTAACACAGACTAGAATAGAATTATATTATTTTTAACATTAGCAGTTGTTGAAAATTAACAATACAATATTTTTATTATTTCTAGATAACGCGGAGATATGCAGAATTTTCAGCTGCAATGTTGAGCTTGAGTGAACAATTTCCCTCTGAAGAACTTAACAATCTTTTATTAATATTGCAAGATGAAGTACATTGTTTCTTATTGAAAATGGCTGCCGAATTCCCTCAAAGAATTCAACAATTAATATTTTTAATTAATAATTATGATATGGTATTAAGTATTCTCATGGAAAGAACCAGAGACAATACAAAGGAAGCTGAAAGTTTCAGAGAACAATTACAAGCAAGAAGTACAGAATATGTCGAAGAAATACTTAGTCCACATTTTGGAGGTTTAATGCAATTTGTAAAAGAAGGCGAACAATTGCTAGAGAGTGGCAAAACAAACGAACTAGCAAATTTGGAAAAGAAATCAATGTCCTTAGTTGCATCATTCACAGCCGGTTGGAAACAAAGCCTCGAAGAAATTCACAGGGAAGTTCTCGTGTCATTTCCGAACCTGGTGACAGGATCTGGCTTATTACAAATGGCTCTCACCAATTTTGTACAATACTATCATAAATTTGCTAAATTATTAACACCCAGTGCTCGCACGCAGTTGGTCAATATTCATGTAATAATGGTTGAAATAAAAAAATATAAGACCAATTATTGAATTACATCATACATGTAAAATATTTGTATCGTAACATAAATATATTTCATTAATTTATTGTGTAGTTATATTGACATATATTTCAGTTATTTATTAATCATTTTAATTATTTTAGTAATTTATTAATTAAATCATAAAATTGTTTATTAATGTCTCAGGGATATGATAAAAGCAAGTATTTGATTAGATTTGTAAAGATGATTAATTTACGGGAAAATTTAAAAAGACAGTTTGTTATTGTGATTTCTATTAACAAATCAAGTTATTTAATTAAATCCTTACAATGATTTTAAAAAATGATTAAAATAATATTTCAACGCTATTAAAATATCCACGGCTACCTTCAGTTTACAATAATTTGTATTTTATTTTAAACTGAAGGTAGCGATGGTTAACTACGACACGTCGAACACCTGTCTCACCATGATCATGGGTGCTGTACAACACCTACTCGAAACATCGGAAAAATATAAAATAAGTTAATATACGCAATAATCCCCGTGAAAACTAGTTTCATTTAAATGTGTAGTATTAGCGTAAACAAGAAATCAACAATGATAACAGAAAATATCACTTATTTAAAACTAATCTTCGATAGGAAATTAAAAAAAAAACAAATTGACGAGAAGTATACCTTTTTAATTTTAAAATTGAACTTAACCATAAAGCAAATTTATATTTATTAATTCATGTTGTGGATTTGTGGCATCTTGAGTTACAAGGAACGTTTTTACAGACATCTTTTCTTTGCATTGTTCTTTTGATGGGCACTTCTTGAAGCTCCGCCCTTGACCGAATAAAGATAATTTTCCTACAAATTCTCGCAAACTGCTTTTTCATGGGACTGAATCGGTACATGATGTGATTGTAGCTATTTAAAAGATGTTTCTTATCGTATCAATTGTATATCTTTTACCTACTCATATCTTTAGTACACCAATTAAAACTGAAACTCACTCACACATCTTTAAATATCTCTAAAGAAGTCTCTTTTAATATTTCAGCAGATATTATTAGGTTTTGTGTAGTATTTGTTTCTTTATTCTTTAATGTTCCCTTTTCTCTTTTTGTCATAAACACCAAAGAAGGCTTCCTACCGTATTTCCACATATTGCATCCATTATTTTATAAATATCGCATTAATAGACTCCAGTGGATTCCATTCTAAAAGAATAGGTTTTTTCACTACTTTCTCATTTGGTGAAACTAATAATAAAGGTGTTCTAGCTGTCGATGCCTTTATGTCGATAAATATGTTCACCTACTTGTTAAAGCATTGATGTTAATCAAGACAGCTTGTTTAGGTCAAATAATTAACTTTGAAATTTGCCTTCAACACTCGTGTCCTTCGCTGACTTTGTAAAGGTCATCGTCGCCCCTCTCCCAGGTGGTCGCTCGGCAGAGGGCGCGAGTGCCGGACGCGAGTGCGAAGTCAGTAGCTTGACAGCAGCGTCGCGGTCGATTAACGTATTTTATGGTGACCGCTGCAGCGGTTTCGCGCGAACAGTTTTTGGTTTTGTGGTCTAGATTTGGAGTATTTGTGCGCGTTTAATTCGCTATTGAATTTGGATTTCGTGTAGACCGCCTCGAATTAGTTTGTCTAAGTTGTACGTTTCGTGACAAGAGGCTTGTATTGAATTTGATTGATTAACGTAATTTCGTTTGCAAGTAATTACGTCAATTGTATAGTGATTGCATGTTGAAGTGCATTTTGCAATATTTAACTTGCTTGTGTGACGTGGAATTTTTTTGGAAGTCATTGTTTAATTGTACCGTCGCGTTAAGAGCCTTTTGTGTGTTGACTCTGTAGTTAGTTTGCGTGTCAGCTAGGCTGATTTTGAATTCTTATTGCGGCGTAGTATTTAATATCGTACGAAGGAATTTAGTTTGTTATTCGCGAACGCTGAACTTTGAGATTCGAGAAGAGGCCGCGTTCGATCCCGTGTTTGTAAATTTGTGCTACGTGAACCCGGAACCTTGAATATGGAACTTTGAACGACTGTTAGTTACTTGTGTCGGGTGTCACGTGTTTGATTTCGATGAACGTTGAATTGGTTAACTTTGAAGTTAATTAAATGTACAATGGAGTTGATAGACTGAAATAGTGAAATGAAGAAAGAAGTGGTCAATTGGTGACGTCCGCTGGAGTGATACCACATTGTGGGGCAGCATTGGACCAGGCCGCTGCCCGATCACCTCAGTTGGGTCAGGTCACATATTATATAAACACTACTACACACCACTCACATGCACCTACACCTACCTACCGCCTGACCGAGCCTTGGGGCAGTCTTAGCTTCGGAACCAGGTATGTACTGTTTAATTACCTAGCCTTATATCTATTGTGTAGAATAATAAGTCTCCATAGGCCGTTGGGCCCCTGTATGGTCGAAGTTTTGTTGGGGCAGCTAGGGGCGTGTACACAGCTGCTGGTAGTTTCCGTGAAGTTAAAATATTATCTTTGTGTAGCTTTTTAAGAAATTGTTCCAGGCTCTCTCCATTAACAAGCTTTTCCAGCAATTTTATTGGAACATGAGTAAATTCAAGTCCTGTTTTTTGACTGCTCCAAATCCTAAGGCTTTGTACGGTGATTGTTTAATGGTACGATGGAATGAGTTCTTCAGAAATTTAACAAAATAACAACCACTCCGTTACAACAATAAATAAAAAAAAATAATTAAAGTTTTTGTCAGTGTTGAAATTGAAATTATAGACTGGGTGGTAGCATTTGTGAGATGTCTCTGATTTTTTTTATTGATCAATGATATGATATCATGTTATGAATAGATCATCATTTATTAACTATGGTAATATCTCTATAAAAATATTAAAATACCTACCTTCTTTGTAGTGTATATTTGGGCATTTTTTCTGTTGTCTTAACATATTAAAAAACCTTTTCAGTTTACGCAATTATCAAAAAATTAAGTTACCGATTGAATTGTATTTTTGTCGTTTTTTAATAAAATAATGGTAGCGAACGAGCACAAAATCCACCAGATGGTAAGTAGATGCTGTGGCCCATAGATATATCTACACATACCCTTTATTAAGAATCACAATGGCATCTGCGTTGTCAACCCAGAGGACTAAGATAAAATATCTCGTTTCCAGAAAAAAGTGTCTCCAGTTCTCTACACTCACTATAAGAAACAGCAGCAAGCTGTTATTTACGCTGGTATTCTGTGAGAGCGTGGCCCTTCTCCAATCTAGTCGACCCATTCGTGCTACATAATATAGCTGTAGCGTTGCTTTGATAAAATAAAATCGTTTACTTTGATAAATAATCGTTAATAAAGAAACCACAGAATAAGGAATCGCACAAATCGAAGTAACAACTTTAAGATTGCAATTTTTGGTGTTGATTTAACACGTAGACATCGTTTGAAATTTTATGTATATATGTAATGTTTTTAAGTCTCTCAAGATAAGAAAATTGTGCATATAATGCCTGTAAAATGTAAATACAGTTAATAACTTTATTACCAATTTGTTAGAAGTATTCAACAATTATCTTAAATTATGACTGATATCATATTATGGAAATATTTACTCATAACATAGCATTCCTACCCGTATCTCTCCTGCCCGGGGTACAAATTAGGACACTCCTTTGTGCCCCGAGCTGGAGCTTACGTATACAGAAAGGCGTCGACATCTATCAACGCCTTGCCTCGGCAGTCTTCAAGCTACGGACCTGTCCATCCTATGGCTGCGCGTAGACAGCGACAATCATCCCCGCGTCTACGGTTGCCTCTATGGGTCCTCCGACACAGACCGACTCATCGACCACGTCCAAATTGCTGCAAACTCCGTGCTACAACAGGCCCTATTTGCAGAGATCGTAATCCTCGGTGATTTTAACGCCCACCACGCTGAATGGCTTGGTTCAAGTTTAACAGATCATGCGGGTGGATCTGTTTATGGCATATGTGCTGATAAAATTGGTTATTTTGCCTACGCGGATCCCAGATGTGAAGGATCATGCACCTTCCCTGTTGGACCTTCTACTGACCTCTCATTCGGATGGATATCAGGTCCCTTAATCTATGATGCCCCTCTTGGCTCTTCGGACCATTGTCTGATCCGGAGTACGGTACCACTCACGCTCCCATCGCGGGTGCGTTTTGCAGGTTGCCGCCGTGCTATGCACTATAGGTCAGCCGATACGGACAAGATGCGATCTTTTGCTTCCTACCCTTGGGGGCGGGTTTGTTTCTCGCCAGATGAACCCAACGTTGTTGCTGATTCCGTCGCTGATGTGGTACTTCAGATAATGGAACTTTATTCCATCATGTGTGGTGCCTATCAGAGGCAGCACACAGCAGTTTTGGTCACTCCTGTAAAATTGCATCACACCATAAGCAGGAGTGTTACCAGGCCTGGACGACGCATCAACGTCGCGGGATGCAAACACCAGCGCTTTTAAAAAGAAGTATAATTCCACCTGCAGGTCCTTCAAAAGTGTTATTGCCAGGGCAAAGTCGGAACACATCGGCAGATTCGGCGAGAAACTAGTTTGACTTCCCTCGAGAACACGTGCATTGTGGTCTCTTGCCAAGGCTAAGGGAATTTTCGTAAGTCATCTCTGTACAGGGGGGTCGACTCACTGGTCGATGCCGCAAAGGAGAAAAGCAATTTGCTATGCTCTCTCTTTGCGTCCAACTCTATTCTCGATAACGTGGTGAACACACCGCCGACCATCCCGCGGTGTAAGTACTCCATGCAGGACGTGCTGTATACACAGCGCCCGGTGCGCAAAGCACTCCCTGGACGTCAACAAGTTGAGTGGGCCTGAGGGAGTCTCACCTATTGTACCTGTAGACGTGTGCTCCGGAGTTGGCACCGGTTTTAACGCGTCTCTTCCGGTACTCCTACTTCCTAGGCGTAGTCCCGGGCTTATGAACAGCTATGGTGCACCCGATCTCTCAAAAATGCGACCGCTCAGATCCGTCCAACTACGGGCCTATCGCTATTACCTCCTTGTTCTCCAAAATAAT